TGGCAAATCATTAAATGAACTTTAATTTATATTTGCTAATAGAAAAAAATATTATAGGTATGTAACAAGTCTGTTATCCTGAATTGTAACGACATGCTCTATGTGGATATGAAGATTCCTGGAGTGAGCATAGTGAGTAGGTCAGGATACAGAAATTGAGAAGTAGGCCACAATTCTTCCCTCTCGATATAAAATGTACGCGTGTCAGTTATATTGTAAATTAATATAAAATGAAATAATAATAATAATTTATATAAAATTAAATTTTATTGTACAAAAATATGAATAAGTTTATGGATATTTTCTTTTTGTTACTTATTTGATAATACAATTAGCTTTGGTATATTTTTTTATTAATAACTTGGTACCTTTTTTGACTTCCATTTAAATAATACTGCTAAAGAGTTCTAGAAGTTAGCTATATAAATAATCATGTAATAATAATAATATTATTCTATTTTTATTTTAGAAGAGGGCTGACTCAGGTGATATTTTCACTCCGATTACTAAAGTTATTAGCTTTTAATTAAAAATGGATAATGCTGCCTCAACTAAAACTGTCACTGCGTCTATTGACTTAGTTAACATCCCAATGACTACTAAATTGACTAATTTCAAAATAGATCTAGATGATGCTGTTTCAACTAAGATCACCACTCCGTTTACTGCTTTAACTAACCTAACCTAACCTAATTAGAGTAACCACAATGAAACTTTCATTTCAACTAATAACGTATCTAGATTAAATGTGGATGGTAGTGCCTTAAACAAGACTTCCAATTTATCTACTGACTTTCACTTCATTTACTGACTTATCTAACAACTAATTAGAGTTATATGAGAATAACTTAAATAAGACTTCCATTCCGACTTCCATTCTGAAACTTCGACTCCGAGTACTAGCTTAGTAAAAAGTTGATTAAAAATCTATTAATGATCTCTTAAGTGAGTTTCTCTCTTAAACTACTAATTCAATTAACTTCAGATTAGATTTGGATGGTGGTGTACCAAGTTAGATTTACACTCCGAATATTAACTGAAATAAGTTCTGATTAGATCTGTATGTTGGTGTGTCCCAATTGAGACTTACACCATTTGCTAACTTAATTCTTTTCTCATTATATCTGAATAGTGAAGTTTCAAGTGAGGCTTTAATTCTAGCTGCTACCTTTACTAATTTCTGATTAGATCTAGATGGCGGTGTCTCCATTTGATGACTAGATGAGTTTTACTCCATTTACTGAATTGGCTAAAACTCAATTAGACTTGAATTTTAGTGTTCCAAGTGTGATTGCCATTTCAAATCATTTCCTAGCTAACAGCTGATTAGACTACGATGATGGTGCCTTACGTGAGTCTTAGATCTAAATGGTGTTGCGCCAAGTGAGTCTTCCAATCCATTTTATTATAAATATACATATCCATAATCTCTCAACTAAACATTTTATTAGGTACCTATACATATGCATATATATATAGTGCAATATTGCATAATTGACAATGACTACCGCCTTAACAAAATCGCTCACCAGCATAAATAGATTTATACGAATGCCATTTTTTGTTTCCGTACAATTAATGATTTCCTTAAGTTCAGATTTGCATAAATTTTTCATTATTTTCAATGAATCTGAATGGAAGCATTTGTTAGATGCTATAGTTTCCTTTAGCTTTTTGTTTGTGTTAATTGCAGCACACGGGCATGCAGCAGTCAATCGCCGCCATGTCACATGATGCAACACTTAACCTACAAGTTTATGAATTCAAAATTATATACCGGCACGCGTTCCACAGCCAACAGAACTTAACCTTTGCTGGCGAGCTTACTTTTGTTGTTCTTTGCAAAATAAGTAAAAAACATGTACAGAAAAAATAAAAATTTGCTTCGTGAAATGTTTCCAATTGCTCTTGACCTTGATTGTTTTCATGTATGTGAGTGTGTTAAGATGCAGACATGTGTTCGTAACTGTGTGCAGCTCAAGTGCTGCCAGCACATATGGCATATGAATGCATTACACATTACACGTTACACTTTTTGACTTGGTTGGTTGCCTTATTTTTGCTTTTGAACTCAATTCCATTCATGTGACTAAAAATAGACTCAATGTTGAATCTTTTTAAATTGTTAAATGGTTTTTTTTTGTGGTATATATGAAATTTAATTTGTTTTTTCTCAACTTTTACTTAGTAACTGTTTCTGAATAGAATCTGCTTTATAAGAACAAAAATTAAGTTGTCCGAAAAATATTCAGAAGAAAATGACAACAATTTTTACACAAAATGTTTTGTATTGTACAAATCAAGATTTTAAGCTTTGCTTCAAAGAAATAAATTTTAAAATTAATATCTAAACATTGTCTCATTAAATAAAAAGTAATGTTTTGGACATCGGCATAAATCCTTCAGTAGTTGTCTCTGGGAAAATCTGTTGATTTAATTGTCCGAATATAATTTTTGAACTACAATTATAGGAATTGAACCCTATCAACTTACAACCATGTAGCCGTGTGGTAGCATACAAAGTCACCGTACACATAATATAATTTAACATGCTAAAATTTAGAACAAATAAACAATTTTTGTTGTTTATTGTTAAACAACCATTACACATGATTCAAAGTTGACATGGTTCAATTTCTTACACTTGCAGTTTAAAAATTATATGTGGAAAATTAAGCAAAGAGATTTCTTCAAAAACCACTGATGTTAGATATTTGGCGATATCCGAAACAAATATGTGGTCAAGTCCAAGAATTTACTTGATTAAAAAATTGTTTTTAGATTTAAATTTTTTTACTATTACCAACATTTTTTATTCGAAATAGATTTCTTGTCATAGGACAGAAAATTCTTATTTAAAATGTACTATGATAAAATTTATAAGCAAATGGAAAAGTACCATTGGATAATGGCCAGCCTCGATTTAGGCAATCAATTGAACTATCATTTGAAGGAATCTCCTAAGCAAATCCATATAAATGAAGACTATTGATAAACTAAACTGTGTCTCATGGTGCGAGACAAATAATCCCTTCATTAGGTTTTATCAAATTCGTTTGGAGGTACTAGATCCAATTCTTTCAACTCATGAGATACAAAGATTAACAGAATCCACAGTTGTTAATATTCTTTAATCCTATCTTTGAATAGGATTATGCTTTATTATGTCTACGTATAGTCTACATACATAGTGATAATGTCAGGTTTCAGTATTGTTTTATACTATCTATGTGATATATACGCTCATGATAGTTATATGAGCTGCATATTTCTCTTTTATAAGTCTGAAATTCTAAAATATTTTTTAGAATAAATTAGCAGTCAAGAGAGGCAACTTTGCACTAATATTAGTTTTCAACAGACAGAGACAATACAAAACCGATTTTTGAGCAGGAAGTTTCAAAGATGAAGTTCCTTCGAGTCTAATACTCAACATTTGAAAAAATTTTAGTAATAAGATATTTGCAGAAAATATAAATTGTACAAACAATATTCTATAAAAAACTATTTTCATAAAACATAAAATGCGGTCTTATTATTCTTAAGTTCAAATTTAACTTAACAGTTTCAAAAATGCATTTACTTAGACAGAATTATATTCATATATATATACTATAAAATGCTAATAACAAATATAATTAAGTCGTTGTTAGATGATTAACTACCTAGAAGTACAAGATCCAAGTATAAGAAACGTCATTTCCTAACAGCTGGAAAAATGCAGAAAAATGGATTACTTAAGTTAAAGACCTTTAGTAGAAGTTTTTAACCTTTATTAAAACTGGCAGACACAGTTTGACAAAAAGTAGTGTACAATATATGAGTACATGTAAATAAAACTGTAGTCTTCTTTATTCAATAAAGCATTTTGTTCTGTGGGTTTCTAATTCCATTATCTATATTTGTTGAATTGTACTTATCCATTCTTTTTGAAAATAGATTTCACTACATTTAAAACTAATACTAATTTAAATTAAAAGGAAATAATTGAAAATAATTAAACATTAATTAATCCATATCAGTATGAACTTGTTCCAACTTTTATATATTGCACATATATGGAGGTCCTATACTCCAGAAGGAATTCAGAAAATCAGTAGTACATATTATATGTATGCATTGTATTAAAGTTATACAACTTCTCTATTAGACAAAAATTATTTTGTGTCATTATATAGAATTTTCCATATGTTTAAATTTAAAATTAAGATAAAGGGAATCAATCGCTTGATATCAAATTAATGTTTTTTAATAATATAATCTATTTTTCAAAACTTGGAGGACAAGTTAACAGTACGATTATAAGTATTAGAACAATAAGTCATATCACCTTGATTTATTATATATTAATTTTTTTAACCTTAATATTAATTATTAATAATTTAATAATATCATTTAATTTTAAATTTTCTTAGCTGAATACAAGGTCTATAAAAGACGATATGCGATATTAGCGATATTCACGTTGTACTCCGCATGTAATGCCATGCAATGGATACAGTACAGTATTATTAACAACCTGGTCACAAAGTAAGTAATAATAATAATTATAATCAAGTACTACATAAATTTATACACTACTTTGTAATTACTAAATTATTTTTTTTTGTTTTTCTGTCAATAAACAAAAACTATTTACTATATATATAAATAATATTTTTTTTTTCGAGGTAAAAATCAATGCATACACATATTTAATTATATATTATATAGAATAATAAAATATATAAAAATATATTATACATTAATACTTAGTCCCTGTATAAAAATATGACCTATTAATCGAAAAACTCTAGTTGTGGACACAACATTAAATATAATTTTTATATCATACTTTATGTTATATATCAAATATACCAAGACTGAAAACATTAAATTATAAACTAGACTGAGAACTATAATCAAACTTAGTCTTCTTCAAATAATAAATTTTTAGTTGGTTAGCTACACTAGTAACAAAGTCGATAAAATATAGTTAATTAATATCATCTCAAAATCCATCAGTCTAAATTTGTAAGAAGATTTGTAGTGGGATTGCCAAGTTCTGTGAAGTCAGAAAATCAGATATATTTCTAAAATGAATTTGGTGTCTGCATTTAAATTGTAAATGGAAAAGGTTGAGCTGCGAGACGTCCAAATTACAAATTAATGTGTTCAACCTGCTTTTCATTGATGATGAAAATTCCCTTCGGTAAAACTGGGACTTTAATGGAAAAATCACCATAATTCTTTTAATAGGTCAATGGGGGTCAAGTACCCATGCCGAAAAATTGGACCAAAAAAGCAAAGACTTTACAAATGTTTAGGTCTGATAACGGCATACAAGGATGGAATTCTACAAAGAAGCGAACCTGATGAGTACCCCATCTTAAAAAAATAATCATAATTATAAACGATGTAGGTTGCATTCAAAAAATGTTTTCTTTAACTTAATCCCAGGAAGCTTATGTGATACTGAGACAGAAGAATTCGTTTTTAAACTGGAAGAAATTATAGTGGTTTTGAAAATATGAATATGTAGAAATAATTCTAAATTGTATGATTTGTAAATTCTAAAAGATATTCTTTCTAATATTCTAATTATGGATATAAAAAGCTTTGCCAGTGGAACTTGTAATATTAGATTCATAACAAGAGGATTAAATACAAATAATGGTTAAAGCAATGACTAAGGCTTAAATCTCTTCGTACCAGTTATTTTATTACTTGTTTCTTAATACGGTGGAAAATGTTTTAACTCTACTATCCAAAAACTACAAGTTACTCATAGTCAGGCTCTCCGAAGGCTCTTCAAAGGGCGATGGTACATCCGCATGAATGGCATGCTAAGAGACCTTAGAATAGATCCGTTCAAAAAGTACATAAGGGACAGAGCTCTGAAGCTATATGCGAAAACCGACAGGCTGCCCTACTTAGCACTATCTAATCTCAGAGTAATCACTAACCACACAGGGCGGTACGCATATCTTAGATCAATCATTAAATAATAACAAAAATTTATGATGAATACTCAAATTAGTCAGTGAGATGGGTGGGACTCAGCAGAAACCCCCTATCCATCACAGAGTAAAAGTGCCCAGATGCACTAACTCGAAAAAGGCTCAACATAAGGCATAAGACAAATATATATTATAACAATCAAATATGTTGTACCGGCAGAACTTATAATAAAAATGAATTTTGATGAATTTGTAGCGTTCCTTATTTTGAGTAATGATGGTATGCGTGAGTGGAATGAAAGAGTTTACTTTCTAACACTTTACCATGAAAAAGTATTCGTAAACTATAAACTATTGCTAGCAATAGTTTTTGGTAACAAAATAAAGTACTATAGGTACTTCTATCTATTCTATATATATCTATAAAAGCTTGAAAACCGTTATTTTAGCATATATTGAATTGAATGAATTTGAATGAATTGGATGGTTTAGTTTATTCAATGTTTAGACTACTATTTATGTCAATTGTTTGAGTTATTGTTTGAAACTTGAGAATATTATACGAATATATTATCTGATAACAATATCTAAATCCAAAAATCGAATCCAAACAGATTGTATTGTTTTTCACCTATGAAATGTGAACCCATAGCAAAGTGCATATTCATATTCATTAATAGTTCAATTTAAGTTTGTGAATGAGATTGATGATTATTGAACACCTAAAGTAATTTTGATATGATGCATACAAGTAAAGTGCTATCATATGAAAACCGCTACACTTTGAAATCATTAAAAGCATATTTTGATTTAAAGCACTTTAAATTTTTACCAATGTTTCAGCAAAATTTTCCACCAATCTGTTAAAAGCATTCAGCCCAAATAATGTATGATGTGCCCAACTACATACCTCAATCTGATCAATGTTATACGCTTTGGTGACACTTTCTGAATACAACCTTCGAGTTTTTTGATTTGAAATCATTGACAGGATTCAAATGAAGTTAATTATCCCAATTCACAAAAACGCCTATACATATGTCATGGACGACGGCAAAGCATAACTTTTACACATACATCACTTTTCAATTTGATCAGAAACAAAAATGTATCTTCATCCTATTTTCAATGTGAGGTGACACCATTTCATCATTAACTTTTTTCTTCATTTCAGATATTACAGTGTTAGCGACAAATGGGTCGACTGGACATCTATGATTTACATGTTTCTTTACATTCCAATGGTTTTTCCTGGTAGTTGGTTTTTGGACAAAATGGTTAGCAAAATTTTGAATTTTTCTGGGACATGCATATGGCTTTCGTTAAATGAAATGCTTTTAAATTTTGATTGTTGCAGGGTCTACGTATTACAGCTATAGTTGGTATTGTGGGCACCTGCATTGGCTCTTGGATAAAAGTGTTTTCAGTTGAACCAGATTTATTTTATGTTACATTCTTGGGGCAATCTATTGTTGCACTTTCACAGGTAATGTAAATAACAATACATATATTTTATATAATATTAGGAGTATAGAATCTCGAAATGAATATTTTACAATTTAAAGAAAAAATCATCATCACTGAATGATGGAGTATTTGACAATACTCAAAACAGTGCTTGTATGATTCAACCAAATTTCAATAAATTAATACAAAGTTTTTGCTGTTGTTTCTTTTTTACTTGTCGACCTCTTCACTGTTCGACCTCTTTAGTCATAAATAGCGTTCACATTCGACAAAAAATCAATGTCACTTAGTTCAAGAAAGGAAAAAAATCATATGGAAAACGCTCGTTTATTCTCAACATTAATCCAGATATTATCATATCCTATAAAAAAGTCTACCTAAAAAAAATTCTGCAGTTATAAATAATACAATATTCTCAATAACGATAATCAATGAAATGTGCTTAATAAGTGACAGGAATAGTACTTATCTACCTTGTGGGCTCTATTAAAGAGTCGCTCGCCTGTTTTTCTTTAGAATCTAATCAGTCATACTTTTGTGTATTTAGTTGATTATTCTAATATTTTATAAGTACAAAAATATGCTATAACTTTTACGCCTTCTTTATGATTGCCCTATTTACAGGTTTGCATTTTATCACTTCCAGCGCGGCTTGCAGCAGTTTGGTTTGGACCGAATCAAGTTTCTTCAGCTTGCAGTGTTGGTGTTTTTGGAAATCAGGTAAGTGAAGCATTTAGAATATTAATTTTTGTATATATTTGGAGTTAATATGAAGATTCATTTTTGTAATATGAGTTGAGTGCATTAGAACATAAAAATTGATTAACAATACACTTAATAAAATACCAAGATTAATGTGTGTATATATTACGGGAGTTATGTGAATATATGTGATGGCATCCATTGAAGTCCTCATAGATCTCAAGACTTTTCATAATCATATGCAATCTCATTCGCAGATGATCATTCTGAGAATAACCAAAGGTAACATTACCTTATGAAATTGTTTTAATGAGTAGTCGTTTAATACTTCCGCAAAGCAACTTCCTAAAATTTTAATTTCGCGAGACATCATGCATCCAAAATTTGAACTTTACCATAAAAATAATTCTGATTAATATATGTTATGAACCTTGAAGATACACTATGTTATAACATGTTAACATGATATACGGACAGTTATATATTTCTCACTGCAAATGGAGTCGAAATAGACGTTTATAGACCATATTTAGAAATGTTAGGCAAAATTGTAATTATTTTAAAACAAAAATTTACATGATAGACAAGGGTATTTACTTCAACCTTCAATGTTATTATCAGAACCATATAATAGTCATCTTAACTGATAACTATACAGTATGTAAGGCTTCTTAAATCGCTT